GAGTAGAAAATGAAGGCTAATCATGTTTTGGGTGTACTATTCCTTTAAAAAGAGCTTTACAGTTTGGAATGTAGTTTCACAACTCAGCATTTCTCCCCCAACTTTTCTTTTTTAATCTTTGTTTTTTTTATTCTTTTTGTCTGATTCTATTCTCTGATATTTGCAAAACCAATGAGGAATTCAGAGTTCGGACTTACACTAAGAGAAAATCACATAAAAGCGATCTGTATTTACTCATTGGTGGACTTAAAGGCATCTGGTTGTGATGGGTTTAAAGCTCAGAGAAATACATGCCACTCTTGAAATTCTTCTTTTCTCTCATTTTTATTATTATAAGTATTAAAATGTATTTGAAATAATTATCAAATTCATTTTGAAAATCTGTATTTGTGTGCATTTTTTGCTGCCCTACCGCCTCTGTTTCTGCAGGCGCTTGATGCCTGAGTCTCAGCAGATCCACGGAGCTGTTTGGCGGATGTAACGCGATGCCTTCAGTTGGCAGCTGCTGCCTGCGGCCCCTCGGCCTGAACTGAATCAGCCGGGGGAATTAAGGGCCCTTCTCCAAAAAAGAAAGCGACAGGTGTTGGACTGCGCCTCGCTTGTTCTCTCTGTTGTTTGGTGTCTTCTTATTTGTGCGCAGCGCCTTTCTCACGTAGTGACCCCCGCACCCCACCCCCCAACCTGTACGACAAATATTTTTTATTAAACCTGCTGCATTGACCACGACTCTGGTGTGTCTCCAAATATAAATGTGCATATATATAAACATTAAACAGCATGTAAATTATTTGTAGCCAGCGGCTGTTTTAGTCTTTATGCGCAAAGTCCGCACAGTGTCTGTTTGTTCCTGTCTAATGAGGGCCCTCAGTCCTCTGCCCTCCTTATTATACATGTTCTGTACACACTATTATCATGCTAATCGTCCTCATAATGGAGCAGATCCGTCTGCTCGGGAAAAAAAAAAAAAAGAGGAAACCATGCAGGTAAATGCGCGCATGCATTTTTCCAGGTGCGTTTTTACGCGCACGCTATTTGCCCAGATTGCAACACAAACAACTCCAGGAAGCGTTACAGACAGTTTAAATTGATTTTCTTTTCTTTTGGCACCTCGCCACCTTCACGTTACTGTTCCCGAGCTGTAATGGTGCGATCAGAGGGCAGAGAGAGCAGCTGTCTCACTTTGCTTTTGTTTGGGAGCTCTGCTGAGGGACCAGACGCCCCTTTCTCTGGCTTTCTCCCCCTTACTTTGAACCATCCGTCTCACTGCATGCGTTGGACAGTCATAACAACAGCAGAAGGATGGAGTTGGTATCTGCACAGCCAGTAGTCCTGGAGGAGAGATTTTTCCTTATGCTTTTTCTAACAAGAATGAAGCACAGAAAACAACAAGATTCATATTCTAACTCAGGGGTCACCAACTTTTTTAAGGCTGAGTGCTACTTTATGGGTACTGACTCATAGGACGGGCTTCCAATACTGACCTATGAACTAAAGGAGTCGGCGATCACCTGAACTTCATAGATAATAAACATATTTCTATTGTTTCTTTTCATTTTTAATTTGCTTTTAGATATTCTCATTATGAAATCCATATAAATCCTCAAATGTTCTAATTTATTGATAAAATGCTTAATAAATGCTTCAAAATAGGCTTCAGTAAAAAATAACATTTCAGATTTAGTCCACTGGTGAATTGTTCTGTTTTCAAAAGATGCTGAGGGCAACCCATGTTGTCCTTGAGGGCCCCTAGGTGCCCACGGGCACCACGTTGGTGACCCCTGTTCTAACTGATCCTGCAAATAACACCAAATAGAACTTGGAGTGACTCAGCATCTAAACTAACCCTACATTAAATTGGTAAATTGCAAAACTTAAACTGACAACTGATGCCACCACAGAGTCATAGAGGGTTTGAAGCAGGGGGCTGCTCACTTCATAGGACCTCAGCTTCCTCAGGAGGCCCTTACGAGTCCAGTCCAGTTTGTTATTGACATGAACAGCCAGGCAGGGGTGGATTTAGGAAATTTGGGGCCCTAGGCAAAGACCTGCATGGGGCCCTCTGAATTGAGAAGGCAACTCATAATACTGACCCATTGTAGTGATACAGAAATTTTAATAGAATAGACAAACATTATTTATTAAAAGTTGACTGCCCATAATGTTGTTTTTAAGATATCTGAAATTATATTATTATATTATTTAGGGAAAATAACAATTCAAGATACCTTCAATCACATTTTTGGGAGTTTCCTTTTGAGATATTTCTAATGACGTCATCTGATTTGTCATTTAAAGTGTCACACATCCAGAATTATCATCAAGATATTTCAATTAATTTGGACTTAATGTCTGAATTATGAAATTGCCCCCCTAGTGCTGTCACTGAGCTGTCCTAACAGTTGCCTGAAGAATTTTGCATGGCTGTAATGGTTGCTGGCTTTTCTTCACAAAGTTGTTTCAAAATGCCACAATATAGAAAGAATTCAGCAGTATGGGATGTGTGGAGAACAAGAACTTTGTGAACTCTAAAGGCCAGATTATACTTCTGAAACTGCACACATCTAATGTCACTTGGGTCTGGTTGCGAACCAGTTTTGCTGGTACGCTTCTGCACCGTCAGGCTGGAATTTCTAGGGACGCACAGCAGTTTCCCGCCAAAGCGCAAGGTGGAGCCTATTCGAGAACTCGCGAGAACTTCCATGGATTGTACTCCTCGATTTCATTGTAGTTGTCCATCGTAGTTGTTCCTCGGTTTTTAAAAATGGCGCACCCCGGCACCGAATCTAGAAGGACCACACAGACAGCCGGAAAGGCATACCAAGGACCAATCACAGCTGCTTTTTGTCTGCGCACTTCCGCTTTAGGTCTGTGCGGGTTTGCAACCATACGACGCGTAGTCAGTATTATTTTGAGGTGGGCGACGACGGTTGCAGAACCTCTGTGCGGGGGGCGTGGTCGCTCACAGAGAGAATGACGGTCACAGAGGCTATGCGTCAGAAGCATAAATTGGCCTTAAGATTGCTTTAGAAATCTGTCATGAATTGGTTCAGGGAAGTTAGTTAGAAGCTGGATATTCAAGCTCCGCTGAGTTAGCGGCAATCAACTGGTTTTCCTTAAATTGAAAACCTGGAATCAATTTACTGGATGATCTGGTGAACTGTAAAGTTTCTTGAGATGACGTGTTGTGAATTGGCGCTATAGAAATAAACTGAATTGAATCTAATTCAAAGAAAAGGCTAGCAGCCCCTCGGACTGTTTAGTGAGGTGACTTCCCACGAAATACGAAATAAAATATATACATAAATTGATGCAAATAAGAAGTCCTGTTTTAGCATTTCCTGCATTAATGAAATAACTGATTTTGACAGTTTTGTTTATTCCTTAGGTGCCTATGATGCAAAAAATGAAATCTAAATAAGTAATTTCTTCTTAAATTAGATGCATTTTTTCTTGAATTAAGGATTTAAGTGAGACACTTTGCCAATGGAACAAGACAATTTACACTTAAAATAAGAAAAAAACAATTGCATTGTCTTATTTCAAGTGTGTTTTATCTAGTTACTTTATTTTAAGAGTAAAAATACTACTTCCATTGGCAAATCATCTTATTTACCTGCTCAAATTAAGGGTAAATACCCTTCATTTAAGAAATTTTTACTCATTTTGAGATCATTTTTGCAGTGTAGAGTTGCTAATTATCTTCATACCTACATTTAGAATAAATTGTAGATGCTTTTTTTGGCACAACTGCGTAAAATTGCACTGAGGGGTTAATAAAAACCATGTCAAAAGAAAAGCAAATTGCAATTGTAGAATATAAAGGAAGAAATAGACTTTATTATTATTTTTAATTAATGTTTAGGTTAAATAGTAAAGGAATGAGAAGAAAAGAATTATGCTACATAAAGCAAAGAGTCGAAGAAGCAAAGTCATGTCATATATTATACAATAAATAGATGTTAATAGAATAAATAGAGGAAATATTAATACAAGCCTCTATAATGCAGGCTACAGGAAGTCAACTTCTTTAGGGAAGTACTGAGAAAAGGTCTGTAGAGTCATTACAGCACATCTAAAATCAATAATCACCGGAACAAAACCGCCCCACTATTTGGTCTTCTGAGCACCATATCTATAAGATACATAACAGAGGATGGTCTAACAAAAATCATCAACATAGATCGTTGATCCAGCAGTTCACCAGGGCCTCCACATCTCCAGCATCATCAGGGAGGAGCTGTGGACTGCCGGCCTTTCCTGACACTCAGGAACCTGGCCAGCCGGCTCCTCCTTCTGATGCTGCCTCACAACCACGGGGTCCCTGTGGGGGGGTGTGGCGGGGACGCCTGGGCTGCTCCACGGCTGTGCGTCGTGCCTCTGCGTGGGACGGCTGAGATCACTGCTGGACCTTGGAAGGGACTTGAGGAGGTGGTTGAGGAGGCGGGAGCCCAGAGTTTTGTCCATCCAATCACAGCTGAGGAGCAGGTTGTGGACCTCATGCATGCACTGGATGTAGCCTGTGCTGTACTTCTGCTGGGCCTCCAGGCCTAATGCTGAGTCTGAATGAGAAGAAGATAGAACAAGTCTCAAGGTTAATGATTTAATTAGTAGTGGACGATGATTTAAGATTTATATATATATATATATATATATATATCTAGAGGACATCGGGATTTATCATTCTGCTTCATTCTATCTCTGTTCTCCCAAGATATGTTCCACTAAATATTTCAAATATAAAAAGAAGTGGAGAGTGACTTCCCTCTGTTTTCTGATTGAACATGTGTCACACTTGTGCAAAGCTTCCCCTGATCTTGACTGAATTAAATAAAAGAGGGCCTGGTCAGGGTTTCAGTGGTTCTAGTGCTCCAGCGTCTCAGGGCAAAAAATAATCTTTCAGAAACCTAATTTCATAGGTTTAGTTGTTTGTTTGTTTTTGTTTTTTTTTTTATCATTAAATTTCGGTGATTAATAAAACATATTTCTGTGGAGTGACAAACTGAGAATACACATTTATTTTTACTTTATACAGTAGTGGTGGGCAATTCCAGTTTCCGAGGGCTGGTATCCTGCAACTCTTTCATGTGCCTTTGGTTCAACACTCATAGTAGCTTCATCTGGTCTGTTCCTGTTTGGCTGTGACTCCATCCTGGAGAGAA